GACGGGCATCTGGCACGCCCCAGCGGAGGAATCAGGATTAATTTTGAACACCTCGGGATCTTTTGACGTACAACCGAAAGCTCGGTTACACGGCGCCTTCTCCGCAATAAGCCTCAGTCTGATTGCGGGCACCTTGGCCGGGATTCGAACAATGTCCCGTGGCTAAAACAATCCTGACTTCTAAATCTAAATCTAGTACCTCTAGAAAAACAAAAAAAGAGAACGCTGAATATATTGTCCCGAATGACAAATGATGAGACGGCGAGTAACTAGATCAACTAAACGTTTAATGGAACAAGCTTGTGCCCCAAACAAAACAAAAGAAGGTTAACGTCGCAGGTGTCGATATCGGCGAAACAGCAGGATCGAGCGCTGTGGCGAGACTGACTCCGGCTCGCCAATTGGAGTCAGTCTCGCCCCAACGCTCGATCCTGCTGTTTTGCCGACTACGACGCCTGCGATGCTCACCTTCATCTATTTCGTTTTTGGCAAAAGTTTGTCTCATCAAACGTGTAGTTTCTCTAGTTATTAGCTGCCTAATTATTTGACGCTCGTGTCATTTTGGTGGAGGTGCGGGGTGTTGCGTTCTATACCCATAAAGCGTGCCCCTCCGAAGGCACCCCAGCCAAGTGAATTGCTCAGCCCCGGAAGGCTACCCTCGCCGATGACGTCTAAGCCCGAACAAGCCGTCGTACCAAAGGTCAGCCCCACGAATTTGGTCTCTTTCCCAAGAACCGGAAGAATGAGATACCGTACGATGACCACCCCGCCTGTCGTCGTCCTGCCTGTCCGGCCGCGATCACCTATTAGCTTTCTTGGCGAGATCAACGAGGATGTCAGACTGGATCAATTATTACGACTGCGTGGCCTGTCACAACGGCTGGGGTGGCGAGCAGCGCCTGCAGAGCTTTTATTTCTCTCCTGAAGGTACCGCAAGGCGCTGGTTTGAAAACAACGAAGCACATTTACTTCGTGAGACCCTTGCAAAAATGAGCTGACGCGTACGTTCCCCAGACAACACTGAAGCGAGAGGGACGAAGATCTGCTGCAATTGAGGACCCAGGGTTCCAATGAGAGCGTCACGAGAATCGTGGAAGGTGTCCTGTTCCTGAGCTCCCGCGTCGACCCTCAAGGCACCAAGGAAAAGCTGCGTATTCTGATGCGTGGAGTAAAGGACGACATCATCGGTGGAGTCGTAAGCAACCTACCGACAACTGTTCAAGAATTTGTTACCGAGGCGACGAACATAGAGTGTGCCATCCTTGAAAGGGCAACCCACTACCAGCGGCACCCCGGTGTAGTTGCCCCCTTGCCAATGGGATTGGACAACGGCTCCAGCCTGACGGGTATTTGGGAGATCATTCGCGATGTCGTACGTGAAGAGCGAAAGAAGCTGCTGCCCACTCCTGGACGCCTGGCCTCACTGTTGCTCGCCTTGGTCGTCCGAGAGGAGCTTTACCGAGCCTTCCAACCTGAAGTTCCCCTTTACACGACGACGCCAGAGGAACCGACCTTGAGCTACGCCGCCATGGCCCGACGAACGCCGCAAGCTAACCGCCAGGCCACGGCACCTCCCGACGGGGGGCTCCGATGCCGCAGTATTCTCAACGTTAGGAAGGAAAAGTCCAGCACGTCTGCCCTGAGCGACCCTCGCCGAGGAAGACAGACGTGTGGAGGACGGCCGATCGACGCCCGTTGTGCTACCACTGCGGAGGAACGACCATATCTACCGCCCTTGCCCCTACCGGCAAATAGAGCTGCGGGACTTCCACCCATGCGACCCACGCCCACGGTACGGTGAGCGGCACCTGAGGATTGAAGAGCAGTGGCGTCAAAAAGGGGAGGGGGGGGGGGGGCGGGGAGGAAGACCGCCCCGGGCAAAGCGCTCAGGGGGGTGTCGCGGAGGGCCACGAGAGCGCGGGGGGGGGGGGGGGGATGTCGCGGCGATGCGGCACTCTTCCGGGTGCCGCATACCATAGTGACGCCACTGTTGAGGCGTACCTCCGACGACCTCTGTCTCCCCCGCCGCCTGCTGCTCGCCGTAAGTCCCGGTCGCCGTCACCAAAACGTCCATCTTCGCCGATGCACCTACCCCGTCCTGAGAGCCTGTCGCACTTGGCGCGCTGGGAAAACTAGGCGCGATAACCGCTGGAGGTGGGGTTGCCGTGAAACGACGACGTAAAGAGCCTCCGAAAACACCTGAGGCCTCCCACTTGACCGACAACACGCATCGGAGCAACGCTTCTGCAAAGCTGCGAAACAGCCTCAACGTGATTATCGACAGCTGCGACGCTTCGGCCCTCGTGGACACCCGAGCAGACGACTCCGTCTTGAGTGTAAGGTTTTCATGCCGCCTTCGGAAAGTGATGACACCATAAATTGGCTTTGAAATATGAACTGCCGGTGGCCATCTCTTCACACAAGTCGGGAGATCCACTTCTCGCTTCAAGATCCACGGTGAGACCTGCCCTGTGAAGCTTTGTCGCTCTGCAAGAATGTGCGGGGATGTTATCCTCGGAATGGAAATTTTCTGCGACTATGCCGCCGACATCGACCTCGGTGCGAACGGGCTGACGCTACGAAAACCTGTTCCACCACAGGAGGAAGAAAAGCGACGTCATCCGATTTACGAGGCCTCGCAAACCACGTAAACTTAGTGGCGAGGTCGAGTGTTTTCGCACTCGTGGAGATCAAGAAAGGTTCCTGCGGCAAAGTTGTGCTCGAGAGAAGCTTTCAGTTGCTTTTGGAAAGAGGAATCGGTGTTGTACAAGGAGTAGCAGGACTCCAAGAACCAGCTATGGTCCTGGTTACTAGTTCGCGAGAAGAGCCGCTGCACCTTACGAAAGGTTTCGCCGTGGGCCACATCGAGAAGAGCCGACTTGATCGCACCGCGAGAGAACGCCACCCTGGAAACATGACATTGACTCGAAGCTTCAAGCTACTGAACGAGGACGGCAGCATGACCTTCTGAGCGACTTTGGCGAGTGTTTTGCAGCTAGTTAAGTGTGCGACATATAAAGTTAGCGAAGCACGGCATCATTACTGACAACGACGCTCTGCTCACCAGTCGCCGTACCGACTATCCTTAAAGGAAAGGGAGGTGATTTAGAACATGTCCAGGAAATGCTCGACGACGACATCATTTAACTCCCAAGAAGTTCGTGGGCGTCACCAGTCGTCCATATAAAGAAAAGGGACGGAACCCTGAGGTTCTGCGTGGACTATCGTTGACTAAACGCTGTGACTAAGAGGGACGTTTATCAACTCCCCCGCGTAGAGACAACTTTGTACCGACTGCGCCATTCCCGATCCTTTCCGTCGATGGACCTGGTGAGTGGCTACTCGCAGATTGAAGTCGACGAACGCGACCGCGAGAAAACTGCCCTCCACACTCCCGACGCTCTGTACGAGTTCAAAATAATGCTGTTCGCGCTTTGTACAGCAGCAGCCGCCCTTCAACATGCCATGGACACCGTGCTGGCAGGTCTGAAATGGCAGAGCTGCCTACTCGGTCAGCTGTGCGGGCGGCAATTTTAGTAGGGTTGCATTACGCGAAATATGTTTCAACTTCAGTTATAAACCATTCAATTCTCGCAGGGATTGGCGAAGCTAGCTGTTTCCCCAACTTGCGTTCCAGGGAAATATTCAATGGGTTTAACTAAAAGGCACGGTAAATGCACGCGGTTTAGGAAAAAGCGTTAGTAAACCTCGAGCTTTTAAGTGGTCTAATCAGCGTATAAATTATAAGTTTTGATGATGTTCTCACTTGATAAATGCATTCATTTGCATTAGAGAGCAATTAGAGAAGTGTCCGCTGTTCCTTCCGTGAGCTCTGGGCGCCATGATGTACTCCTCTTTTGAGTCGCATATGTCTTGCGGCATTCCGGGTATTTTCGTATCAGGCGGATCCCCGTCGTGAGCCGCTCCAAGCCTGTAAGGTATAGAAATGTCGAGGGAGAACACCAGAGCGTGATGCCTTCGTCGATGCTCCAACGGTTTTAGTTTGGAAGAATTTCTTTTTTTATTTGAGAATGGCGAATCTCTATACCTTTCTGGAAGATCCCATGAAACACTGAAACAACCCCCTAATTCTCTCACGTCATTTCTCTCTCTCTCCCATGAAACACCGGAAGTCCACCAGATTGCCCCGCGCGATGTGAACGTACGATTGTCGCGCGATGTGGACAGAAGTTGTCGCAAATGGGATTGCAGTAATACGTCGAGGATACGATAGACGAGCCACATATGTCCGGAATGGTCTATTGTCAAACTTTAGGTTATCCTCGGGGACAACTATAAGCGGCATTGAAGTCAATACGCTAAAAAACAGTGCCCCCACGCGCCTGCTATTCTGCCAGTAATTCCCCACAAAATAGCCTTTATTTTTTTTTCTGCGAACAAATTATTTGTTTACACTCGGAAGTTCAACATACCTAGCGAACTAGAAAGGTCGTCGTAAAAAAGTTCTCCTATTATTTTTACAGTACAAATGTAAGCGGGAGAGAAACCTCATTGTGTGCAGAATATATCTGCCTAGATGTGTCCCAAATGACGTTTAAATGAAGCACTAATTCAATCCTGCGCTAAATTATTTAACAGATTCAGATAACAAAATACCTTCCACCCTATAAACTGAACTGGAAGTAATAGCAAAAAGATAAACAGGAGAGAACTGTCTTATATTTGCATTTTTAGATCGTAACAGCAAAGTCGAAACAAAGTATGTCGTTTTTTTGGCGTCGGCAAAGTTTTAGTTGAAGTTATAGTAGAAGCATTCTTGCTGAGCAGGACATAAATCGTATAATTTAGAATGGTTCATAGTTGCGAAATAAGAAACAGCAAAATATTTCCGTGAACTACATTCCGTCGCAAGTTCATATGACGCTTCTGCTCAGTTGCTTTAGCTATACTGCTACGGAAAGTTGGGCCGGGTATGATGCGCGGGATACTCCAATTCGCATATTCTAATATTTATAGTCAGAAGATTCTTATATACTTACGTATGAGCCAGTTCGTGTGTAATAAGTTGAATGAAAGAGTATGTGTGTGGTTGATCCTCCACCATTGCAACGCGTTCGCTTACGCTGCAAAAACCATTATTAAACGCCAATCCTAAAAAAAAAAAAAAAATTTAGTAATTTTAGATTACACCACATTTTAGTTGTGCAGGCAAGCTATTTGTCTCTCTGCCATTGTAATCCCTCCAATTTCCATCTATTTCCACGCCTAAAAATCATGCCCAGGAAAAAAAGACTAAGTAATTGTCATTGGGAAGGCGCAGTTTTTTGAGAGTGAAATTTTGGGAAACAAATATCGTAAATTCTGCGAATATTAAAACGCGGCCTGAAGGTAAATATAATATGTACGATGTACTGTTTATCAGAAATATCGAACTCGAAAATGAGTTAAATTACGTCTTACGTGCGGCAGTCGTGGCTATATTTTATGCTCCGCACGACGCATGAGTGTGTACTCGTGGCGGTGAAGGTTTCTAAGGTCCGCATAAACCGCTATATAAACCTATATGTTTTACACTGTCGGGAATACAGCAGGTAATGTGTTTTTCTGACGTACCTCGAGCGCTTTATTGCAAGCAAATCATGTCATGGACGTCCTCGTTAAATTAAAAAAATAACTATGCTAATACTGACAGACCTGTGCGGGATGTCGGTTCCGGCATTGACTATTGTATACGAAAAGCACGTGTTATCTCTATGAAAGCAGACTGGTTTTAAGGAGGGCCATTTGCTGAACGTTTTTTTCTATCTATTGCTGCTTAGCACAGACACCGGAAGGCCCCCAGTGACGCGGTGTAATTGCCCATCTGATAACAATGATAACTATTTTCGCTCGAATTTCTGCAGCGTTTCGTCTCAAGACTGAAGATACGCGTAGCGTTCTCATTAAGCCTGACTCAGAGCCACAATAATGGGGTGCATATTAGGAGAAAACCTTGTTGTCCTGTTTGTAGGGAAGGATATTCTTTTCTTCCAGTACAAACCAGGAAATATGAACACTTTTCTAATATTGAAGAAAAATGTGGACATCTTTAGTAAAAGTGCCCCGTTTCACTGATATGGTGGGAGATGAGCGCGGCGTCTTTAAAGCTCAAATTGAACCTGTCAGCCGCACTTATACAAGAGCGAGGGAGTGCAAGCCGTGGTCTAAGCTTACTTCGTTTCACCTTAAGTTTGGACACAGCCGGCGCTACGAATGTCATGATTTAGTGAAAAAAAGGAAGAAAAAGAAGTGAAGGAAAAGGAGAACGGTATCGCGGGTGCGAGAGGAACTCGAAACTGAACAAAGAGCTGCGACGGTCGGCTGCTCGAACGGTGCGCCACCCGGCTCCGTCGTGGTGTCAGTGTGGTCAACGTAACCGGCTCCGTCCCGGCTTCAACGCGCTGAAAATCAACGCACCTGGCTCCGTCCAGGCGGCAGGGCAGCTGATCGCATCGTCCCGGCTTCAGCACGGTGACCATCAGCACCACCGGCTCCGTCCCGGGATCAAGGCAACCGGTCCCGAGATAACCAACCCCCCCCCCCCCCCCTCCCCCGACATCACGGAACGCACTACACTCTAAGAAAAAATGGAGGAAAAAAGTAGCAACGGCGCGCCTTCCTCCCTTCTACCGACGCGCCCCCAAGCGGACACGAGAAGAAGGGAGGAACGAGACGTTTTCCTCCTTGTCCAGGCAGACGGGAGAAAGCTTTCGCCCTCCCGACTCATCTTCTTTCGGTTGTGTTTGTCGAGCACATCGCGCACGTTGTTAAATAAATGTTGTTGAGTTGATTGCGCTTCAGCGGTAGCGAAGACCGCCTGTAATTCCGTCTTTTAGTCCAAACGTCCAGAGCATTTCGTTTGCATTGGCGTTTTTACCACTAATTTTACCAAACGAGCAAACGAAGCCGCTAGAAACAGCGAAGTTCCGGAGCAGTGCCAGCAGCGCTACATACACTGGGTAAGATGGCCGTCTCTGGATTGCGGGACCCACGCGGAACTACAGTAGCGGAACCACGCGGAACAGCGTCGACATTTTTGACGTTATGGAAATCACAGGAATTGCGTCCAAGGCAGGCAGGTTTTGATGCCGGCTGCCATGGTGCCTTCCGTGCTGAGGTCGGTTCTCTTTTCCCGAGCCGAGTGCCAACCGGCGTTCAACGTGGTTCTGTATTTCTGCTTGTCAGCAACATAGCAGCTGGATCGTGATGGCAGTGTTGTGGGTTGTGAACAGAAGACTGTAATTATCGCCGATGTGACCGTGGGTTCGCGTATCAGTGGTGTAACAAGATGAGATGACGTAAACTGTCGGGCATTGATGCCGTTGGTCGGGCCGTGATGGGAGGGGGCGGGATGTCGCAGGTGGATATTCCGCTTTACATTAAAGAGTTTAAGATCATTTGAGGGACTAGGTGCAACCGAGCGACGTGCGGATAGTCATGTTGGAACGCTAGTCTAAACGGAAAGCTCCTATCGTACAGTGGCCAATGTGACTGTCAGTCCCCGAGTGCGATTGCTCTCTAAGGAAAAGACTGAACTGTACGAAATTATGACGGAAAGTACGTATATTTACAACGGAATTTCAGCATTAAAAAAAAACAGGTAAAATCGAAAGAAAAGCTGCCCTTTATTTTGCTGTTTAAATATACTACGGTTCCTCGAGAAACTGTCCACCAAGTGGCGCGTTGAGATAATCTTATGTGGCGATGCAGGCGAGTTGGTTATGCATGTTGAAAGTAGTGAAAGCGCACAATAAAGACGAATACGAAGACGGAGAGGCAAACAGGACGAGCGCTGAGATAAGCGCAGGAAGTTTTCGAGCTCGCCACGGCGTAGCTGTCGCAAGTCGTGGCTTTGACTGCATTCAAGTTCATCGAAAAGCGATTTCTCAGCCCGTGAAGCGTCACTTCCAGCTGAGTGAATATCCGCTCTACAGAGATTAATTCAAGACGGCAATTGCAGCCGTGCGCGAACAGCACAAATAGAAAAACAATGGCTAGAATAGAAATACAAGCTACGACGTGCCCTGCGGGGAAACAAACTCATGACTTCGCGCCGCATTGGAGCGGCTTGATCTATTGGCTTTCAAATAATTACGGCATGATCGAGCGTTTATTTTGAATAAGAAATTCATCCCCTGAGCCATTCAAAATATCTCAGTGGTGTGTCATTGCTGGGAAAAAATCAATATGCTGGGAATATTTTTTGTTGCTTAGGGAGTCACCGAAAAGCTCCGTACGTTCAAAACGACCAGTGTAAAAGACGGAAACTCAGAGCTCGAGAGTAGTGATCGGGTTAGTGTGCTGTTGTATTGAGGTTTTTTATGTGCGATGCATGTGTATGCGCTCAATGTATGCTCAGCTGATGTTTGTAGGGCTTGTAGTATGCGTAATGTGTGTACATGTGTGTATAATAGAGGTTCTTAAATATCCTAAAGCGCCGCTGGCGTGAAAAAATTTAAAAAAAATATTTTTTGTGAGACGTGAATTGGGCGGTACTTAGCGCCACCTAGCCTAGCTACTTGCGATTACTCTGCTTGACCCTGCCATCTGGTGGCAAGCTATCTAACCTCCTATTACTCTACGCGTCTACGCCAGAATTTCGTGTTACCGTGCTGAAGTGAGGTAAGAGGCTGCTTCGGATTTGCTTTTTTTGAGGGCGGCTTTTGCTTTTGCTGGCGAATGGTTTACCACTCCTTTGTGATGTCGGCTGACGCAACGGTTGACGAAGGAATTGTGGCTCGAGGAATCGCAAAGGTAAGACATAAAGTGCGCGAACTGGGTGTCGGTTGTCTCCGTTGAACATCGCAGTGCTGACGATGAGAAGACTGAGTGACTGCATGCTTTCGAAACTTAAGTTTTTTTTTACCCGCAGGGGGAAGCCGGCTTCGGAAATAAATACAGTTCACAGAAGGCTCGTGTTACGTTTTTATTTGGAACCCCTCTCGCTCCGCATAATACATTTAGTGTTCTCGCTAAGCCTTATTGAGCTCGATTTGCTCGATTCGTGGCCGCCATATTGAGATACAGGCGACGGAGGAACTTTTGCTCCCCTGGTTATACGGACGAAAGTTTCTCTCTTTCTGAAGCAACACATGTGTCAGGAGCGTTCCTCCATTTAGGGAGGACTATACTGACCCCTTTTTCTAAGAGATTATTTCACCAACGATCAAGGGGTGAACATTCAAGGACACCAGGGACCCGAGCTACGACCACAGGGGTGACTATACTGCCTACCCAACGTGCTTGAACGGTCGAATGTTTTTTTTTTTTTTTTTCTAACCTTGCTTTTTTTTTTATTATTTACTTCCTCACTTGAATATATTTTTTACTCACGCATTTGTCTCAGCCTCCCGAGCCTTCCTCTCACCATCCCGGACTAACCCGAAAACGCACAGATGCGACCGATGAAACAGCGTTAAAACGCAAGATTTTGACGTTGTTTGATTGGTCAGTGGTGAATATTGGTTTAGCGATCATAAAGCACATACAAATAATTGACGCGCACCAAGGCTGTTCCTTTGGTGCCACCAGCTCGTAGCGTCGGGGGCGTCCGGACTTGGAGTTAAACGAGATGCACGTGTAGATCACTACCTTCTGACTTCTCGGTTAAATATTTGGGGTTAATATCTGACCAACATCTCCTTTGGAACCAACAAATCGAATATGTTATTAAGAGAATGCGGGTTGTATCGGCGTATCTTTACAAGCTAAAAAGTGCATGTTCTGTAAACTTGCGGAGAACTATTTTTATATCTCTAGGAGAATCAGTTATACGGTATGGGATTACGATATGTAGGAATCGTTCAGTGTATAAAAAAACAGGGAATGAATAGAATCATAAAATATAGTGTTAAGAATATATCTCACGGGTCAGTGTTCGATAAACCAGACATTGAAGAAAAAATGCGCGCGTTAGAGGTATTGTCATTTAATCGATTTTATAAATATGTGATAATAACAAATAAATATTAAAGTAGACCATTTAAACAAGAGGTAAAAAAACGAATCTTGCGGCGTACAGATAGGTTCAAGGTCCCTAAGATACAAACAGATTATGGAAAGAAGTTAAAACGACACTATGTCCCTTCGATGTTCAACAGTTTGCCAGAATCTTTGCTGAACTTATCATCCTTTCGTGCGGTAAAACGGATTCTAAGAGAATGGTGCCTCACGCTCGCGCAATAATAATTATATAATTACTTTGTGCGTATTCGTTGCACAAATTCCTACATTATTGTTGTTTGTTTGTTTTGTTTCTCCAGTGTTCATTGTGTCACGGTATTTTGTTGGCTGCCTGGTCCCACATACAAGCATCTTTGCTTTCGTGGGCCAGCACGCTTACACCTGTATTTTTTCAAAGATTATAAATATATTATTATTATTATTATTATTTTTATTATTATTATTTTTATTATATACCTCCCTTACAGGAACCAATAGACGCGGCTTCGAATGGCTGCGGCCAGAAGATCAAGGTTCTTTGTTTTGACCATGCCAGTCTGTCGGGGCCCTTAAGAAGTTTTTTCTTACTAATATTGCCGACAACGTTTTTTTTTTTTTAGCAGACTCTGGCTAATTGTAAAAGCGTACAGGAGTCTAGTTTGTTATATTTTCTACATATTGCAACAGCACGTTAGCTTCAGAACGTATAAAAAGTGTTTATAACAAAAGGACCTGTCGATTGCAAGTATTGGGCGGATGAGGGGCATACAGAGTTTAACTTCCTGTCGAAATACATTATTAAAAACAAAATATGTGTCGGGTACAGTAATCAAAACTAATTCTCACCCATTATGTAATTTTCAATATATTTCATGATACTAATCGCCATGTCCATTCTGAAAGTAAAACACAAATTGAACGTGCTTGCATGTTGTATTATACACAGTGCGAGACTGTTAGAACAGACACGATATTGGCGCCTTTTTGAAGTCTACTTCTTACGAGTATTTCAATATTTTGTTACTTATATTAGTACCACAAGTAGTACTTCCCTCAACAGTAATATCTCTGATGACAGCCTTCATGCTCCGTTAGAGTTTTTTTCAATATTTTTTTTTTAAGAGCTGCTTTGAATAACAGAATTGCGCGACGCAGAGAAACTACATCACTGGAGCACCGCGTGACCCCCGGTTGATGCTGTGGAAATAGAAAGTCCCGCACCAACTGCAAGACCGCCCGAACGTTCTCTTGGTGGCGCGAGAGAGCAGTTTTATTGGTTGACCCTCCTGTGAATCTTGCCGCATAGGAATCAAGAATGCAAAAAGACCTGCCGCAGGTAGCGTCCTAATAAGAGACAAGACATTGAGCAACTTTTAGATTGCGCTTACGATGTGACAAGGACGACAATATCTTCCGGACCTCTTCCGTAAAGTTGAGCCATCCAATCCAATGTTTCCTCTGGGTTTAAGTACTTTTTTTTTGAACAGGAACCACAGTCAACATCATATCCATAAAACACGTAGAGAATGTCGTCCAACTGAAAACGAAATTACAAGAAATATTTTCAAGCCTTCGGCTATACTTAGATAGTATACAGTATAATAGCACCTACCGCTACTTCTACAGTAGTGAGTAGAAACTGAACCATTGGTTCCGTCGTGTCTTCATATTGTAAGTTAACCTGCGAAATTCATATAAAAAAAGCACAGTGAGAACGCTAAGCTTCTGCCAAAATGAAACAGTACGTACCTTGTGTACTTTGTCTGGTGTTAGTGAAACAAACTAATGTTGAATAAAATTGTACAGCAGTTCGCGAAAAACGAGAACCGTGTTTTTCGGCGCGATTAAATAACCTTTCCATCGCAAAAAGCTCAAATCTCACGAGAATGTGACTCCAGCGTTTGGAGTAGAGCCCGAAAGTTTGTAAACAAGACGTTACCTGCATAAACGGATAATTAAAAAAACAAAAAAAAATAGAAACTCCAGTCTATGCTGAGAAGGTGGTTGAAAGTAAATGCGCTCTTCCAAAACTTAATTTTTATATATGAAAGAGTTCGTAAGCTACCGCGGCCGTGGCAGCTTTTGCAACCGCAATCATTACCGTGAAACGCATGCGGGGAGCGCTAGTGCTTTGGATTGTTAGTAGGCTAGTGACGTCCCTTCACACTTCGTACTCTGCCGGTGCCGCGGCAGCTTTTGCAACCGCAATCATTACCGTGAAACGCATGCGGGTAGCGCTAGTGCTTCGAATCGTTAGTAGGGCTAGTGATGTCACTTTGCACTTCGTACTCTGCCGGTGCCGCGCAAGCTTATGCAAACGCAATCTTTACCGTGAAACAGATGCGGGAAGGGCTACGTGCTTTGCATTGTTATCGGGGCTAGTGACGTCGCTCCACACTTCGTACTCTGCCGTTCCTGCGCAGCTTATGCAACCGCAATCTACCGACGAACGCATGCGGGGAGCGGTACGTGCTTATCATTGTTCTCGCGTGGCTTACCAGCTATCACGCGGTTTTTACACTTGTTTTGTGGTTTTCTTATTGAAAGAAGTGCCAATACAACTTGATAGATGGTAAGGCGCGCGATAGTTTCATGTCTACGGACAAACAAAAACCGACCTATGAGTCATACGCAGCTTCGCTGTAAAATTCTTTAGAAGCCGACGTCCACCTAACCCTAATACTGCCAATACAAAACTCGACATTGTGGACGACTGTGGGATTTATATCAGTGGAAAACACTTGTCAGAAACAAAGGATGTTTCCTTTCCTGCTGACAAGGTCTTTTTTATTTAAAATATATGCTCCAGCCGCCCACAGTGAAATTTCTCGTTTTGACAATATAAAGTTTATATTGGCGTCGGCTCACAAAGAAGTTCGTTTTTTTTTTCTCAGTTACCATCTGATGCAGGTAACGTAATCTTGTCAGATATTCTCCTTCGATCGCAACCGCTAGCGTCACATTCTCACACCGTTTGAGCTTTCTGCAATACATAGCTTATTTACTTGAGCCGAAATACACAATTATGTTTTCTTGAGAATTCCTTGTACATTATGTGCACCAATTCTTCAAATCCACTTCGGGCGGTCCGCAAAAATTGGTTTCTTCGGGTATAACGCTGCTATTTACTACAGAGGTGACACTACGTGCTGGAAGCTTGGGGTGAAAATATAAACGGAAAATCTTACCCCGTGAAAAAAAAAAAAAAAAAAAAAAAAACTTGTTTTGGGTAGTTTATGGCAGCATCCTCAATGTCATGTCTTTGCTCGCCCAGCAGTACTCTAAGCAGTGCGTGCCACCGACAGATGTCAGAAGCGTCGAGCACGCAGGTGCTGAACTTAGCAGATGACCTTACGAAACTTTTTTACTACGCCGGCGCGCGTCTCTCTAATATACAATTCTGTAAATGCGAAAATGTGTTTATAAAAAGAAATAGAAAACCAGGATTTAAGGTGAATCATGACTTCTTACTTTTGATACCGAGATGACGGGTCAAGGCGCCGCACACTCCCGCCATCTCTCGGCAGCGCACACAACCAGTCGACCATGGTCCTGACATCGCCTGCAAATGCTTTTACAGTTTGAGCAATCGGTTGTGTTTTTTACGAGGTAAGTTCATTTTTTGTTCATTTACCACCTAGCCGCACCTCTGTAGCTAATCGCAACGCGATACGTCGAGAAATTTATTTTTGTGGACTCTCTCAAAAGGGGTTCGCGTTGATGCTAAAGACTGCAATTGGACAAAAGTTGGTTTGATTCTTCCGCAACGAATCGGAACATTACGAGGTAGAATGGATATAGAATATGTTAAATTCAAGGTCCCGAAGTGAAAAATAAAAACTTAAAGAATTGAAATATTTCTAAAGGCTAAAATAGGAAACATATTTTTTTCAATATTTTTTTTCGACATTCTTGTATTTTTTTAACTCGTGATACCATCTTATCACGAGACACAATATTTGTGGCGTATTGTTTGTGTTTGAAAAGTTACCAGGTTAGTTATATTTAAATATAATTTCTCTAACCCACCTCCAAGTTCCGTGTATCGAGCAAACAACAGCAAAATATGAGGATATTGCTGGCCTGTTTTGTAAATAAGAATGAAGGTTAGAAAGCCGCTGTAAGGCAGCGTTGGGCGTGTGGCGACATAGGCGACATAATGTGGGTTTGAATCCTGGGTTTTCTTAATATTGTGGAGGTAAGCTAATCACGGCCGCAATCCACCATGTCTTGCGGAAGCACCGAGACGGGATGTATTCGAGAAGAAGTGTTTTGGAGGCAATGGTAGGTGTTGCCTAAACGCGGAACGCGCTGGTACATTTTTGCAAACGTGCTAAGCCCTCTTTGTGCTGTAAAAGTACTTTTATTGTTTGTCCCGTGACACGTACATGCATGATTGCTTGTATTTGTACTTCAAAAACACGGTTAATCAACCGTTCTGCATAAATGAAATTAAGGCTAGAAAATCGCCTAAAACATATAGCATCATCCCCAGGTTTTGTATCTTTTTTTGGACGGATTGAAACGCTGGCAAGTTGGCTGCGACAGATGTGTCCAAAACATTTGACAAAATTTCAGAGACTGGCAAAACACCCACTTAAGTATATTGGAGAATTACAAAAAAATCTTATGATATTTGGTTGTGTGCAACATGTAGTGTTTTAAACGGGATCGCATTGTGGCCTATTGCTCAAGGCCGTCAACAATACCGATTTGTGCGAAGTTTTCGACAAATCACCGCAATATGTATTTTTCCTTTTAATCTAATTGTATGGTTCATCCAACGAGGTAGACGGGCTTAGAAAAACAAACCGGGGTCCAGCTCCGCAGACAAAACTAACCCCAGCAGCCCCCTAACACCAAAGGGGGCCGACGCTATTTATGGAAATGTGACTAATCGCTACTTGACCTAACCAAATACGTGACGTAAGAGGTAAAATGGCAGCGCCCAGGCAGTGTGGGCCCCAGCTGGGTTGCAGGTTGTCGCATGCGTAGTTCGTTGTCCTTGGTCCGTGCAAGCTGATTTCAGATGCGGAAGAATTCTTCTGAAGGCGCTCGAAAGCTATTTCAGAGTTCAGCGTGATCTCTCATGTAGGTATACCGCGGAAATACGGAGCAATAAAACTTTAGTGAGCCTTTCGCTGGCAATAGGTGGGGATACTTTCACATAAGAGACAAAAGTGACCCTGCGTTGCACGGCCTTAGGATTGATTCGGATATCGCTACGATATATTTTAATACGACGTTTTGTATTCTCGTTGACTATCGGAATGTCCAAGGTCTGCAGTGAAGCATGTGCGATGTAGCTGGATACACAGTTTAGCTGCAGCAAGTGCGTAATTCGTGCTCGGCAGTGTGCAGTGGGGCTCTATATTGAAGCTTGTAGTTCCCGTGCACTGCTCGACGATGCTATGATGCTTTCTGAATTTTTCTGCCGTAGACGTTAAATTTTACAAAGAACAGATGGTGCAGTTCAATGCCTGGAAGGCTGTCCCACATTCGTTTCTTCGCCCGCGCACCCCCCTCCCCCCTTCCCAGTGGTAGAAACAGCGAAAAAGAGGACTTGCCAGTAAAGCAATTCAGCTTTTTGACTGATCAGGATAATTTCTTTTCAGTAAGGTGTTTTTTACCACGTTATTGAACGGAACATTAAGGGCAAATATTAACTCCCAATGATGAATGTATGCTCCTCACCCTAGCTCACCTCATGCCAATTTTATGCAGAAGTTGAAACAAATCGTAAGCAAGAAAATCCTGCTAAATGGTGTATTGGGAACTATTAATTAAATATTTCGGCCAGCTTCGGGCAACAAAAAGAATAGGTAACCGAGCACGTAGAAGCTCTCCATTACCTGAAGCAAAAGGTTGCAGTGCAGGGATAGAGCGCCCATGTTTTTTGGTTTTATATCTATGGGTGTCACAGAGGCACACATTTGTGTAATGCTCGTTAAAGACTGAAATGAACGCCCCCCTCCACCAACCACCAAAATAGACACACTATGACGTTCCAATGTAAACTGATTTCCCATTGTCGAAGCATCTGTGAGCGGGCTCTGCGTATTAGCTACTCGAATTGCGTCCACGCACAGGCTGCACAACCGAAGTTAAAATAATCATGTGACACGTCGCCATACATTCCATTTATCGTGCGAACGAACTGAAATCTAGTCTCCCTCGAGTATTTTTTGATATTTGGAAATAACACGCTACGGCTCAATTCTCGACGCGAGTCGGTTGTGAAATATTTGAGATATAACAATTTATTTTGACAATTTAAAGTTAATACAAATGTAATACTTCTTGTTAACATAAAATATGTGCCATGTTGTGAAGCCATAAACGTAAGCACTGGCTCAGCCGTCTGGATTCCCAGGATCAACAACAAAAGAAAGCAGCAACCACGCCCTCATTACGGGCACCACAACGAAAACTGAGTGGAGCGGGAGGTAACCACGACACAATCTTCGACCCTGTGCTCATTCTACTGCAAAAAGTCACTTGGCGCCTATATGAAAGTAAACGGGTTTATACCGGTTACAGTTTAGCCACACCGGTCACCAGTATGTCGAAGAGGTCGCCCGTATGGCTCAAAGGGGTAACCCGTATGAGCCATAAGGGTCGCCAATTTGAAAAAAAGGTCACTCCTTTTGCAAACGGGTCACTCGTCTGGGCAAAGAGGCC